ATAATAAACCGCAAGCTGTAGAATAGTGAAATCATTCGGAGCTGATTGGAAAAACTGCTTTGGAGTGGGTGGGAAATCATTTTTTAAGCTTGAGGTTTGATGCTTTGTGGTTTTTGGTTAACGCCACGTCTTTAGTGTTTATTGTTCTATTTTTTAAAAACCTGTGGTTGTGACGGAATTTTAACTTATTTTTTAAGGCATTAAAGTATTGCGGTGCTTTTATTTCTATAAAAGAAAATTATTAAAAAAAAACTAAATTGTCTTATTTTCATATTTATTATTAAAAGTCGTGATACTAGCTTTTAATTAAAACGATTAAGGAGCCACAAAGAGACAAGTAACCTTATAATTCAAAGGGGGTTCAAACTTTAATGATTTAATGGCTTAATCTATACAACCTAACATCTGAAGGTCCTTTAAGACAATTTCGTCCCATCTTTACGAAAATTCATCATGTTTCGACTAAAGTCGAAAGTTACGCAAAAGCCTAAAAGTCAAGTACAGGTCGCCAAATGTTAAAACTCCGTCCAAAAAGCCCGAACAGGTAAAATGTAAATATGCAGACTGCGGAAACAGAGTCTTGGGCTTTGAACGGTAAGTTTCATGAGCCTGCATATGTGAGAAGAAGTTGGTGGCTCTATCCCCAAAGCATGCACTTCATTAAGGCAAGTGCATCCTTCTACCCTCACCAAATGTTGACCATCTAATAAATTGAAATATAAGTAACACCAACATTCTACTCCGCAATGCAAAGATATGTTCAAAATAATAGCTATTAGTTTGGAAATAATTATGTCTCTTATGCCACCTACCTAATTTATTTAAAATAATTATAAATCCTAATTATAGAAGGCATTTTCTAGCATATAAAGTATATATATTCTTGATCAGGGCTTCTAAACGAGTCGATCTAGCCATGTCCGTCTGTCCGTCTATCTGTCTGTATAGACGCTGAGATCTCGGAATCTACAAAAGCTAGAAAGTTGGGATTAACCACACATATTCTTCGGCTTCCTACGCAGCGCAATTTTTTTTCAGCCGTGCGGCACGCCCACTCTAATGCCCACAATCGCCTTAAACGTTTTAAAAAGGTTTCTGGCGCACACGGCTTTTAAGATTTCGGAAAAGTAAATATACAGTTTTATTGTGTTTATCAATCAAATAAAAACACCTCTTAACGAGGTAAAAAACTAGTGACGACCGCACCTTCAACACACAAAAGTTCTGATATCAACATTTGTGACGAAAAATTATTACACTCGTCATTAAATAGACTTTCTAATCTTTTCTTTGTCGGATTTTGACAAATGACACCTCATTCGACGGGTATTTTCAAAAGGAATACAACTAAAACATTGCGAGGGGGCATTTATCCCCACCGGTCCCAACAGCTCCAAATTTCGAAATTTGCACTTTTTCACTTTCACCGCTCTCTCTTCCAAGCCAATTGATTTTCTTAAAGTCTTGGTATGCAATCCTTTAAGTTTTTGCAATACCTTTCGATTGGTGTATTACTCATTACGATCGGACTATCACAGCAGATTTTCATTTCTTCGTGTATATATAGTAGTCGCCTTCGCACACTCTCCTGGTGCGCTTCGTCACTACATGGACTGCCGTCCATAGTGATACCCATCGAAATGTAGAAGAAATTTTTGAAATCGGACCATTCGTTAAAAACTTATCCGTGATCAAAGTTTTATATATACACTCAAAAAATTTTTTTTCCTAAATTTTAGAAAATCGCCATAAAATGAAATTTTTTCTTAATTTTAGAAAATTTTCTGAATTTTAGAAATTCTTTTCTTGAATTTAGGAAAAAAGACCATAAAAACAGAATTTTATGAAATCCCTTTCTAAAATTTAGAAAAATGATTTTTTTTCCTTAAATCAATGGTGTTTTTTCCTAGTTTGCTCTCCAAAAGTTTTCTTAAATTAATGGCGATTTCGCCATTAAATTAAGAAATACGCCATGAATTTCAGTCGATGGCGATTTACCGGGCTGTTTTTTTTTTTTAGTGTATATGGAGTAACGGGTATCTGATAGTCGGGGCCCCCGACTAGCGTTCTCTCCTGTTTGTATTGCCTTTATCTCTTTTTTCTGCTATGCTAGCCTGATCATTTACTTAACTTATATTTTAACTATAAAACAAACTTTACAATTACCCAAATGAATGCGGTCATCACTTCATAAAAGGATTGCATATATGCAATAATATATTAAATATTATTATAAATAATAATATATTATTTCACAATCGATTACCACAAAGAACCGACAGTCAGAGTAAAATTATTACAAATTAGGCCGGTTAAGAAATAATGTTCAATGTTTTTAATATTTTTTTTTAGAATTGCACTTAAATATAGATTTATTTTATTTGTTTGTGAATTCCACTAAAGTTGTAGCCGCAGGTGTATGAGTATTTTTATTTGTGCTAATAACGCCAACGGTCAGCTTTGATTGTGCATTTTGTGAGTGAAATATAAGTGGGGCCCGGCAGCAGCTGAAGAAGATGTTGTGCTCGCTGTTCTGCTGAATTGGGCAAAAGTTTGGGTCTCCTTTCTCCATTACGTGGCGGCGCCCGACTCGAACTCGAAAGCCACTTGGGCAATTAGAGCCCTGAAAAAGTTTGTCCAGCGCCATCGTCATCATCATCGTCGTCATCAGGACAACTGTGAAACTTTTGTCAAACGTTTGGGAGTTGAAGTTTTCGCCCTTTTCGGCTGCTCGTCCTGCGGTAATTGCGTGCGTATTGTTAGGCGAAGGCATTCGAGATCCCATTTTCAATGGGATAAGGGAGGGAAAATTGCAGTCGAAACGTGAGACTCTGAGTTCTGCGAATTGCAGGAGTAGCAGTGGTAATCTAAGTAAATAAATTATTTTGCATCGCACCTAGTGCGGTCTGTGATGTGGATGCTTTGTTTAATAGTCCGTAATAGCAATTAAACATTTTATTATTTGGTACTCAAGTGACCAATTTTAAAATAAAATTTCAGTATATTTAGTTGATTATTTTAGTTATTAAAAACACTTAAAATAGTTTTGCTATACTTTCCAGGCAGATTTTAGCTAAATGGAGGCTTATGGGGGGTTGGAGTGGGCGTAACAAACTTTTTATACATGCTACTCGTAGAATAAAAGGGTATAATGTATTTGTGCATACATACTTTTTTTGTGTGTACATACTTTTATGTAATAGCTAGAAGGAAGCGTTTCCGATGTGTTATTTATACCTATCGAAATGTAGAAGACATTTTTTAAATCGGACCATTCATTAAAAAGTTATGCGCAATCAACATTTTACATCTTTAGACACTCGAATATAGCATTCTCTCTTGTTTATTCTAGTTAATTACATTGGCAATTTTATACCTTGATTATCAAAACCTCATTCTTCAAGCCCAAGCTCTTAAAATCAATTTTAGTTCATGTATTATAGCTAAATAAATATGGTTGCATAACACTTATTCGAAACGTATCCCAGACCCTTGACTCTTCCGATGATGATTGCTCTGATTTTCTATACGCTTGTTGAGTGTTCCGTTTATCCCGGGCAACAATATAAAATGCATATCAAGTTCAAATTGAATATCCTCATTTGACGCATGAAACAGGGCAACACCAACAAAAGCAAACTGAACAAGGACAATGTATGCAATCCTTGTTTATGGCAAGTAAAATACACCTTTGTGTGTTGCCTATAAAAAATGCAGCAAAAGAGTGGAAATTCTATGGGAGGGTCGAAGGAAAGGTATAAACTGTGGGGCGAAAGAAAGATCCGGGAGAGGAATCCTTCTCCATTTTTGTGGTCTTTGTCCGTGTCCTGGCATTAAGCAGTAAAAAATGCAGAAATGAAAAAAAGGACGAAGCGGAGGAACCAGAAGGTAGTCAATAGTGGCAATAGTTCTAAAGTAGTACAAGAAACACGGGGAAAAAGAGGGCAGGCGAGCGGCAACAAGCCACCACATTATGACAACAATAAAACGGAGAGCAGAAATAAGAAATAAAACAAGAACTAACGCTGAAGGCGAGTGCCTCGACTATCAGTTACCCGTTCCTCTGTAACCCTATTTCCAAATCATGGGCGATTGATTTGGTATGACAAATCATGACCAGTTAAATTCATTTAAAATATATCTTCATTTCCAGCAGCAAGTCTGTGCGCCTTGTTCGATTTGCGGGCATTAGAGTGGGGGCGCCTTACGTACTTTTCAACGAAATAGTATACCCATTTTCTCAACGAGTAACGGGTATAAAATCCTTATTACGAGGCTGACAAACGGCAAGGGGAGACTGTAAAGTTGACGGATCTTATCATCATCTTTACGATATTTAAAAATAAAAATATTACAATTTGGAACCAAGGATTAGGATTAGGATTCATGTACCACATGAAAATGTGCAATACTTAATTTTTTAAGGGAAAATAGTTAACATCAAAATATTAAAAAAATCGTTAAGCTAAAATGTAACAAAAAGATATCAGACAAACAGACGGATATAACTAGATCGACTCTGCTAGTGATAGCTATAGTTTTTTTTAACTGGAAATCCATAATTAGCTTATTAACTTTAACACATTTTTTACTCTCATCATAATATAGCATTTAAGTGTTAGTAAAAATTTTTTCTTTGTTTGGATGATTGTGTTTAATTCAATTTAAAAGATTGTCGTTTAGCATTAGTAAAAGAAAATATGAAAAATATTGGGAATACCTATTTATTGTGCATAAATACATTTTCTTCTTAAAAAAACTTAAATACGTTTCATAAAATATTAATTTACTCCAATATTTTGATTGTTTATACAGCAGATTGCAATTAGTCTTGCAAATACAAAGTAACGTTCGTTTTCAAACGAACCTCGCCCATAACCGATGCTTATAAGCTTACTACACCAGCCTGGTGTTACCCGCACTGCCGACAAACAAAGGATACACCGCCAACATATCCTTTCCCTGCCTCCGCCTTCGCCGCTGGCACGCCTCTTTGGATCTTAGCTTTTTACCGATTTTCTGGTTGCCAACAACAGCAGCAACGAATCAGCCCACAGAGATGAAAAGATAAGCAAAGATTGCGAAAATTGTATTTTCCATTGTGAGACTGTTGAGGGATGGGAAAAGTGTCCGTGTCTTGGCCAAAGCATGCAGGCGGGAAACAAAAAGAAAATACCGAAACCGTTTGCTCCACGAGCTTTCAATAGGTTTCGGGGAGCGAGGCCAGACCTTTCGGACAACCCTTTCAGAAAACGGGGGAGAAAAAAGGTACACAGGAAGAAAGGGTTTAAAGATTGTGTAAATTATTTTACTAAAATCCGAAATACATAAAGTTCTCATAAACAGGTAAATTGTCATAAATTAACATAATCCTAATAGACCAAATGGTTATCACAATACTGAAAAATGATTATTGATGTATCTTATTGTTGTCTACTTGATTAAATATAATTATCTTTCTTCTTAACTAGTATTTGCATTTTTTTTCGTGTGGAAATTCTACTCAATTTCGGTTACACGCCAATGCGCGTATAAGGAGCATGTAAATATGAAAGGCGAACGACGATAGATGCCAGAGTTATGAGCCTGCAATTGTACTTATATGGAGGAAGAAGTTGGCCGAAGGGAAAGTGTGGAACGAGAAGGCAATTCGGTGCGGACTGCTGGGCAGCATAAATCAAAATCAAATTTGAGTGCTGTTTAGTCAAGTGGTTGACTTTGGAAGGACGAGGCCGAATGGGTGGGATCCAGCGGAAACACAGACCCAGAAGTGACCAATAAGTGGGTCAGTAGTCAGCACTAAGTGGAATTTCCAACTATTCTGCTGACAACAGAAGGGTTCCCCCGCCCCATTCCTCATTTATCAGGTCTTATCAAAGGAGCCCTGATTGGTTTTTGCTGAACCGGTCTTAAGACAATTAAAAGCCATCAAAATTCAACAGCTTACAATTAAATCAATGGCTGCGAGTTGAGTGCCCCAGTTCAAGTCAAGTCTGAGGCTGATGGAAATGAGTTTGAGTTTTGAGTTTTCGGCTTCATCAGCCCCTGAAGATGGGATCGTGAGTTGTTTGGGTGAGCTTCCTTAAAAATAGGTTTAAATACAAATTACACCAAAGATTAATTCAAATTGTTGTAGACTTTTTTATTTCCTATTTTCTGGTAATCATTTTTAAATTCATACCTGCTGCTAAATCGTATTGAAAATGTATTTTAAAAATTCAAATTCGAAAATATCAGTAAAAGTCTTTATCTGTTCAGGATACTTGCATAGAATACAACTTATTTTTTTGTAAATTGTTAATAAAACTTTCGACCAAAAATTCGATTTCTTTCTTATCTTCAGACACGTAGAGTCCCCATCTCTAGGATTCTTTGGCTAGGATTTGTTTACGCGATGAAAAAATTTGCATTTTATTGGCTTTCCAATCGTTCAAGGGCCCGTAACACAGGCCTCCTGTGATAAAAAGCCTGGAAATGGAAGGGGCAAGATAGACAAGCAATTTGCATTACAAAGTCAATGAAAAATCACTTAGTGTGCGAATAGCAATCCGAGGTAAATGCGTCCAGAGAAAGCCTCGATAAACAAAGTAAGCCAAACGATTTAGATTAAAATTGCCAACTGGCAGAGGAGATCAACTTCAAAGATGAAATATCCTATTGCATTATTGTGGATCATAAATATAGGGCTTAACCGGCAGGGAAAGCGAAAGTTTTCGTTCACTTTTTTTGCGATTGGACTAGCCGGAACTGATTGCGAGGGACATGGGAAACCTATTTGAATTTCATTTTCGTATGCAAATTTTCAATGGGTTTTTATGCCGTTCGTTTCATTTCGTTTCGTTTGTGAAACGGAAACTAAGCCACACAAATATGCAGGCGAATTGCCTTGGCCTCGGAACTCGGAGCTTTCGCCTTGACTTTCATGGCGGAAAAACCAGCCCGCAATCCGGCCAGCCCACCAAACTCCTCCCCCACTGGGAGTCTTTTGGGTTCTTCCCATCGGTTTGGTTTACGAAACAATTGAAACAAGTTTGCAATCAGTGCGCAAACTTTTTGCTGGCCAACAGCACACACACAATAACATACAGAGAGAAAATATTATTATTAGATTCGAACGCCCCTCGATTTGTGAAAAAATATATTGAGAACTGTACAAAATATGATAAGGTTATTTTCACTTTTGAAACACAAAAAATGTTCTGTTCGATCGTTAGGAACTTGGAAAGCCCTCTTTAATCGATTAATTTTTTGTACGCAAAATGATTTAAAAGGTGATGAAATCTGGTGCGCACACTCAAAATAAATTTAACCCTAAATTTTAGAAAATCGCCATTAAAATTTCTTTTTTCTAAATGCAAGAAAGTTATTTCTAAATCTAAGGAAATTTTTCTTAAGTCAAGAAAGTTTTCCTTAAATCCAGGAAGTATTTCTTAAATGTAGAAAATGGTTACCATGAACTAAAATCACCCTAAAATCTAGAAAAAATGCCCTTAAAATTAGAAATAATTTTCTGAAAAATAGAAAGGCAAACGAAAATAATAAAATATTTTGGCAACACTTTTTCTAAAAATGAGTGCCCTAACCCTAAAATTAAGCTAACCCTAAATAATAGAAACATTTTCTAAAAAGTAGAAAGTTGTTCTAAAAAATAGAAATAGTTGTTTTCACATGCTCTGGCACACCAAAATGTTCAATGCCAGAACTTGTCAGCTGCCGGGCGGCTGTACTCGTAGCGCAGACGGTTAAAGCGCTTGGTTAGAAATCGAATCGACCCTGGTTCGAGTCCCAGAGCAAACTAATTTTTACCTTTTTTTTAAAGTTTTTTTTTTAAAGTTTTTTTTTAAATTTGTTTTTTTACTCTTTTTTTTATTCCTTTTTTTATTGATGGCAAGCGGTAAACCGAAAATAATTTGGTTTATATTTAGCTATTTACTATATACAACACATAAAATAAATTGCGATAGCATAAATATATACATATGTATATATGTATGTAAATAAGTAAAACGCGAATGGTCAAAATTATGCAATTAGTATTCAAATGTATTCTCCGCTTGACCCTTTACATACAATGCTCGGTTTGCCACAGCAAATTTAAGTGCTACAATGGCCCAGTATGTAGGCCGTTCGCTCCTCGCGCGGGAGACCCGGGTTCGATTCTCACCGACGGACAAGTAAAAATGTAAGTTTTTTTCATGAAGATAAAATATTAACTAATCATAATTTCTACATTCCCAATCTTCCGCAGTCCCGTAGTCCACATTTACAACAACATTTGGCTTTGGTTAGATAAGAAATCCAAGCGCAAATACATAATAATAAATACATAACCTTTAACATTCACAATATACAAGACACACAACGCCTGCATATGTATATAGGGAGGAGTACATAATATAAACGTATATGGGACGTTCCATATCAACTCGGCCACCCCCTTTTTTGATTTTTTTTCTATTTGGACAGTACCACATTGATTGCAAAGCCCCTTGCTTCCAATAGTTTACCTCATACCTATTTTGTCAATGTTACCACTCTTTCGCCGTATAATCGCGTTGAAAAGAAAACACAAAATCATTTTTATCCTGCGAACGGAAGAAACAATTGGCATTGTTTAAAAGCAGAAAAATCTGTCTTTCCATGGCCGATTACGAGAAAAAAAATAGATTTTATTAGACCGTAGATGACCAAGCGATAGCGTTTTTAAAGTCTAAAAGTAGGATTTCGTCCAAAGGGCCAGTCTGCAAAAATACCATTATATTTTTCTCAAAAGGCCCCAAATTTATGGGATTTTTTGCCACTGCACACTGGGCCAGAAAGTTAATTTTTTGGCCAAAAATCTGTAATTTCTTTCCTAGGACAGTTAGAAGGATGCAGTTTTTTGCGTTTTTTTCTTAAAAGATTGAACTTACCAACGAACTAAAAGTAAAATTTCTTGGAATTGTATATGATATAGATAATCCAGACCAAAGTCGAAAAATTTTACGTACTTTTCGGATTTTTATTTTTAAAAAAATAACTAGAAGACGCACTTCTTCCATTTTCGAAATCAATAAAGTATGAGATAAAACAAACTAAAAAAAATTAACATCACTAAAAAATATTATGTCATTTAAGATTTATGAACCGTTAAAAAGTGCAACTTTCGGAGGCTCCCACATCAACGTTTATCAAACAATCGATTAAAAAAAAATTTCTATTTTTTTGTTCTTGTTACCTTTTAAGTTTTATATAATCAAATTATGTAAAAAAAATTGTGTAAAAATATTGTTTTTTGATTTGTTTAATGTTAATTTGACATATTCTGAAGTCATCACAAAAGTATGCTACATTTTTATTTGCATAGTCCAGATTAAATAGATAGATATAGGTTTGGAAAATACCATAATCGATTAGTGTACGTAAATAGTAGATTTTAGATGTTAGTCACACTAAAATCAAATTTTTGAGCGCAAAATGTTCACCAAAGCCTGAAGAAATAAAGTATGGCAAGAGTATGCCATACTCTTAGCTAAGCTCTTCAAAATAGCTCGACTTCGAGTTAAGCCTTCAATTAAAACTTAAATTACCGAAAACTAAGGCAAAACCGCATCGAGTCGGTGGGCTACGCTTTTAGTAAATTGATCAACATATTTTTTTATGAAGGAATGAACTAATTTGGGGATGGCACTCGAAGGCACTCGAAAAGCAAAGTACTCATTTGCTGAAAAAAAGCGTAAAAATTAACAATTACATTTATTTTAGCAAACAAGTAAGACATACGAGCTATATTATATTTTTTACTTGTTGAAAATAATCCCTTCTGCAAGTTTCGGAAAGAAGTCGAACAGCAACATCAGCATCTTTGACTTCTAAATTTTTTTTCATTTCCATCAATATTTTATGAATTTTTCACTTTGAAAATATGGTAAAAGAAAACTACTTGCCCGAATTCTTTGAAACTTTGGCATAAATTAGTTTAATGTATTATAAAAAGGATCCCAAACTCAATTAGGTCATTTTCTTAAAAAAGAAAAACGTATTTTTGGCCAAAAATCTGATCGGCTGGCCCAGTGTGCACTGGTTTCAAAGTGGGATCTCTCTTGAGTAATTAGCTATGAATTCTTTTGTTCGTTTTTAGTGTAGTTAACTGTCAGAAAGAACTAATAAGTAATTTAAAATAATCGTATATGCTTTGGAAAAAATTAATAAATCAATGAAAATAATTCATAGATAATTCCACAAGATAGATCCCACTTTGAA